TTTAGGGTTTGAGTAAAGCTTATCTAACCAAAAAGATTTGAAAGAGAAGCAGTCATATCTAGTATAGTAACATTGTTGGATGATGTTGGTCCAACAATGTTGGATCCGTTTAAACAGGCCTTTACTTGACGCCACATCGTATAATGCAAGTTGCTCCATTTACTATTCAAACTGGCAAAATGTTCCGCGGGAACTGACTGAGTATTAAAATGTGCATAAGGGGTGTGTTTATTGAATAATTGATGAAGAGAAATGCATAAAAGACTGGATCGCCGGTAATACAGCTTGTTTTGTGCTGATCGCCGCGGGGAAGAAGTGTTTATGCAAAGAGATTAATTTTTGCCACGTTCTCGTCGTTCAACGTCTATGGCTCAGAGAACTGTTAGGCCTTTTGTTCCTGTGGAAGACCCAGAGGGTGGCCAATACGATCCTGTTCTTCCTCAGCCGGTTGCTCACGTTGATGTGGTTCCAGACGCTGTTGGTCCTGCTCAGGCACCGAATTTAGCGGTGATTTTCTAAGCATATTTAGTGCTATTTGCTTTGGTATTGTGCCTTGGGTTTTCTGGTTCCGACTTGCGTTGCGCCCTCAGTTGTGTTATTGTGTAGTCGCCCAACTGGCGACTCAATACCACTGTCGGTGGTTTAGGGGACGATTTTACTCGCATCTTAGGTTTTGTTATCGCGTAGTTTTATCATTTGTGTAAGTTCGGCCATATGTCGCATGCTTACAAATTAATAGCCTTCGGGACGGTGTATTGTTTAGCTCAGTATTCAGTATTATTTTCATGTTTAAGCGGGTGGCATTTTATGTTTGGCGCGTTGGTCGAGTCGATTTTAGTTATCGTTTGTGGGGTAGAATTTTGTAGTTTTATTTTGGGCGTAGCTCTCGCTTCTAGACATAATGTTACGGGTGTACGTATGTTTAGCATTTCCGATTCGTCGCTATTTCATAGCCCCGTGTATTACCATATGTAATATTCTCGTTCAAGCCTGTGTGGCATGCGATTTTAGTTCAAGCCTGTGGCATAGGATTCTAGTTCAAGCCTGTGTGGCATAAAGCCTGTGTGGCATAAAGCCTGTGTGGCATAGGATTTTAGTTCAAGCCTGTGTGGCATAAGATTTTGTTCAAGCCTGTATGGCATAAAGCCTGTGTGGCGTAAAAAAATTTTCCTTAAAGCCTGTGTGGCATAGAATTTTCGTTCGAGCCTGTGTGGCATAGGATTTAGTTCAAGCCTGTGTGGCATAAAGCCTGTGTGGTATAGGATTTTAGTTCACGCATGTGTGGCATAAAGCCTGTGTGGCGTAAAATTTTAGTTAAAGCCTGTGTGGCATAGGATTTTCGTTCAAGCCTGTGTGGCATAGGATTTAGTTCAAGCCTGTGTGGCATAAAGCCTGTGTGGCATAGGATTTTAGTTCAAGCCTGTGTGGCATAAGATTTTGTTCAAGCCTGTATGGCATAAAGCCTGTGTGGCGTAAAAAAATTTTCCTTAAAGCCTGTGTGGCATAGAATTTTCGTTCGAGCCTGTGTGGCATAGGATTTAGTTCAAGCCTGTGTGGCATAAAGCCTGTGTGGCATCAGATTTTAGTTCAAGCCTGTGTGGCATCAGATTTTGTTCAAGCCTGTATGGCATAAAGCCTGTGTGGCGTAAAATTTTAGTTAAAGCCTATGTGGCAAAAGCCTGTGTGGCATAGGATTTTAGTTCCAGCCTGTGTGGCATAGGATTTTAGTTCACGCATGTGTGGCAAACAGCCTGTGTGGCATCAGATTTTAGTTCAAGCCTGTGTGGCATAAGATTTTGTTCCAGCCTGTATGGCATAAAGCCTGTGTGGCATAACATTTTAGTTAAAGCCTGTGTGGCAAAAGCCTGTGTGGCATTGGATTTTAGTTCAAGCCTGTGTGGCATACAGCCTGTGTGGCGTACGATTTTCGTTCAAGCCTGTGGCATCAAGCCTGTGTGGCATAGGATTTTGTTCAAGCCTGTGTGGCATAAGTTTTTGGTCAAGCCTGTGTGGCATAAGTTTTTGGTCAAGCCTGTGTGGCATAACGCCTGTGTGGCATGGTAGCCTAGTTCAATCATGAGTGGCCTAACATCAGATGTTATGGTACGCCTGTATATATGGCATAAGATTCTAGTCGTTCAAGCCTGTGTGGCATACGTTTGTGTGGCATTCGATCTTCATTCACGCTTGTGGGGCATAAAGCCTGTGTGGCATACACAGTATATGTGCTGTCGGTTTTAGTTCAAGCCTGTGTGTTTTTTAACGCCTATGTGGCATACGATTTATTTCCAGCTTGTGTGGCATAGGATTTTATTTCAAGTCTGTGTGGCCTCGGGCCTGTGTCGAGTGCGCTCTAGTTCCAGCCTGGGGGGCATAACGCCTGTGGGGTATCCAGCCTGTGTGGCCTAAGTTTTCTTTGAGCCTGTCTGTCATCAAGCCGGCGTGACATACGATATTCATTCAAGCCTGTATAGCCTGAGATTCTAGTTCAAGCCTGTGTGGCATGAGATTCTAGTAGTTCCCACTTCGGGGGCATCCAGTCTGTCGTCACGTCCGTGTGGCGAAAAATTTTGGTTGAACCCTGGGTGGCGTACAGTTGGGTGTAGCATGACTTTTCCGTTCCTGCCTCTGTGGCAGGAGATTTTAGTTCCAACCTGTGTGCTATACGTGTCTAGCTCAAGCCTGTGTGGCACACGACTCTAGCTCCAGTATGGCGGCTTTGAGCCCGGGGGGCATACGCCTCTAGTTTCACCCTGTGGGGCATCGCGCCTGCGTGATATCCGCATCTAGTGCATGCCGGTGTGCCATCTTACAACTTTTGTGGCATGTGATTTTGGTTCCAGCATGTGCCATAAAGCCGGTGTAGTATAAGACCTCGCTTACGGCACTGTGGCATGAGCCCTGGGCATGGGATTGAAGTTCACGCCGGTGTGGCATTTACAGCCTGTGGCCTGCGTTGTTCGTTCAACCCTGTGTAGCATCGCATTTGTGTGGCCTGACAGTTTGTTACAGCCTGGGGCGCCTAAGTTTCTAGTTTACCATGTATGGCATACGTCTGATTTCGTCCGCCCTTGTGGCGTACGATTCTGGTTAATTTCTGTGGGCGGGGATTTTACTCCTACGTCACGCCTGTGTGTGCATATTTTACCTCGCGTTTTGGGGGCGTTTGTCGTGATTGCGGTTGGGCAATCTGTCTCAGTCGTAGTCGATCGTCTTGTCTTATGCCTGTTGGCTTATTTCGTTTTACGTCCCTTGTAGGCCCGTGTTGACCAACTGCAGGCGCATCTGGTGCAGCTTCAGCAGGCTGCCGCCGTGACGCCTGTGGATCAGGCTCTCGTGTTGGTCAGGCAGCTGGCCGCACAACCTGCCCACGTATTTGATCCATATGCCCTGATTGGGGCGCTCGAAAATCTCGATGATGTGGCCCGCCGATCCGTGCATCAGGATGTGCGCCGTTTTGCTGCGGTTCTATCTAATTGTAAGAAGCTGCCCATGAACCCCAGATTGGGGGATTTTGTCACTCAAGTGTTAGGAGCTGAGGTGGAAAAAGATGTCGCTAAGATGATGGTGAAGGTATATCAGTCTTCACACCAACCACTGCGTTTTCCACCGCCGCTGTCGGAGAGTTCCTATGTCAGACCGTCGCCTTATCCGAGAGGGGGTGGCTCTAGATTTTCAACTCCTTTGAGGTGTTTTCGTTGTCGGCGTATTGGACATTTTGCGCGTACTTGCCCAGATAAATGACGTAATGGCTACGGACACTATACGTGACCGGTATGTTGGACCCTTTATAGTCAGCATGTGCGGTTTGCCTTGAAGTAGTGTGATCTTGTCGTGGGGTTCGTCGTACGTTGTATCAATTTATATATTACATCTAGCAAATGACATGGTTAATTGTGTGCCTTAACGTCATGTCTATCGGGATATGGGGGAATACTGGGATATTTGTGTTAATTGAAATAAATTTGATTATGATTTGCGTCGTTCAATTTGAATTGCATATTCTGTTTGTGGGGGCTCTATCCGGAGGTCCAGTTCCTGGATGGAGTTTTATTCGGGGGGGGGCATGTCCGTTTGTCTCATTCTGACGGATCTTTCTTTCATCCCTTTGGGATGGGGTGGTCAACTTTCCCAGGGCTCACTAAAGCTCTTTGTGTTCGACTCTCGCAGTTGTGCCGGGACTGTTGCCCTCTTCCGGTCCCTTGGGAGGCGCCTTAGGGGTGATTCATTGATTCGATTTTTCCTCTTATTCAGCCGCCATACAAGCGTCCTCGGCAAGAAAGTTGTTGTGTGCCTACATGGGAAGAACGCATGGTTTTGACCCGATTGCGGCTGCAGCACGGTTCAAGCAGCGACACGTGTCATGGAAAATCCTCCTTGGGACCGGTTGTGGGGCATCAGCCCCATCCGCTTGTTCATGCGTATTTGATAATTCTACTTACTCAGACTGCACCTCGTCTTGTTTGCGTGTGCGCGACCCAGATACGTTTTGTGCGGGCGAAATACACAAGCACTATGAGGTTTGGGATCTGTTATCGCAACAGCTTCCCAATAGAATGGAGATTCTCGGCTGGATCGATCATGGGGTGTCTGTGTCTGATTATTTGCAACATTTTTCGGGACAGTTTGGGGGAGTCAATTATGACTCGGACGCCCCGGTATCACGAGTGTTCCAAAACCATGACTCATGTAAGCAGTTTGCTGCATTTATTTCAAGCACTATTTGTGACCGTATTGAGGTTGGTGCGGTATCTGTGGTTGGACGGGTGGAAGAATGTTCTCCACCGACTTTAGTTATGCCATTGACTGTGGAACCAAATAAGCCTCGCCTTTTGTCAGGACCAGCGTTATCTTAACTGCTGGATGAAAGATATGCCGTTTAAACTCGATTCCATTGTGCACCTGCCCCAATATGTCGGGAAAGATCATTATCAGAGCAAATTGGATGATAAGTCGGGTTATGATCATGTTTTATGCATAAGGATAGTCGTCACTTGATGGGGTTCCAATGGGGTGGTTGGTGGTTTGTTAACAATGTCATCCCGTTTGGTTGGAAAATCTCACCATATGTTTATCAGACATTGGGTATGTTACTTGAGTGTGGGGAATGTGAGTATGGGGAATAAGTGGGGAGATTTTGAGTATGGGGAGTTGAGTGTGGGTATGGGAGGAAATGGTGGGAGAGAAAGAGGTAGGAAGCAGGGCTGAATTCCGTGTGGATCCTACCTCCATGTTTCGAATGAAACAATGGATCTTCCTTTTCCCCAATACTTAATCAGTGATCCGTGGAAGAATGGCCAGTTTGGATAGTTTACTATTCAAACTGGCAAAATGTTCCACGGGAACTGATTGAGTATTAAAATGTGCATAAGGGGTGTGTTTATTGAATAATTGATGAAGAGAAATGCATAAAAGACTGGATCGCCGGTAATACAGCTTGTTTTGTGCTGATCGCCGCGGGGAAGAAGTGTTTATGCAAAGAGATTAAATCACGGACCAGGGTGGGTGGGTGGGAGGGTTGGGAGTGGAGAGGGAATATAATTTGTATGTGGCATGTTGTGCAGCCCCCACCCTCCCACCCCATTCTTCGGCTATCCATGCTGGTCTTCCGCTGCGGATTCTACCTCCATGTTTCGAATGAAACAATGGATCTTCCTTTTCCCCAATACTTAATCAGTGATCCGTGGAAGAATGGCCAGTTTGGATAGTTTACTATCATCAACTTGGATCTGAGCCAAAGATATAAGCTACTGGCCATTAAACACACTCAAATGACGGCGGATTATCTTGAAACACAACAGAAACACAAGATGGACGAGTTCTGAGACGAAATCGAAGTCACCTCAGAAAAACAACAGAAGATGAAGATGAAGTTGATGAGACACCTCCAACAGAAATTCACACAGACGAAGATAGAGAATCGAACCAGACTGAAGAAAGGCAGTCAAAACAAGCGGTAGAGTGTCAAAGAGAACAAAAAGTAGAAATACGAACACGTTCAGGACGGTTAGTAAATAGACCTGCGTATTTGAAAGACTATGTATCATTTGTGTTTTGAAATGCGAACAGGATTAAATAATAAACTTAAATATTTGAACTAGTAATACTACATTTAGGTATATATTGTTGTAATTTAAAATGACTCTAAAAAAAATGTTTGTATAGTTTCTATCTCCTTTTAAAGAAGAAAGGATGTAACAAGAAGTATGTATCATGGAACAGTAATGCGGGCTCAGAGTACTAATGTATAAAAGAGATAGCAGTTTTATTAAATGTGTCTTAATCTACTGTACTTAAATGTGTGCATGTGTTAATATAAAACGGGACGTTTAACACTCATGTTGGCATTAACAATAGCATAGCAGTATTCTGTGACGATGACCCAATGGTGTGTCCATACTGTAATTTTGCAGAAGAAGGTACAGCTAGTGGGTAGCAATAGTTCATTGTAGGCGTACGGTGTAGGTAGGCTTATTTATGTTGACTTAATAATCAATTCTGTTTTAATACTTTTATAGTTGAGCAGGATGATGAAAACAAAAGATCACCTAACGCACCTACAACTCTTATAAAAATACTGTTATATACACTTCAACAATTTTGTTAAGTACTATTATGAAAACTTGTCTATTGACAAGAAGATTGTGTTACCTTTAAATTTAAAGCTACTTTAAGTAGCTGTTTAATGTTTGTGGAGCACTGTTACAATATATAGTCTATACATTAGTTATCATGGTTTATTTCAAATAAAGCATTTGGTCTATCCACTGCAGGAATACTGTTGGATGAAAAAACTTATGTCCAGGACATTATATATTATTCTAGGGATAACAGGCAAAATTTACACATTTCTTAGTGAGATTTCAACTGAACCTGGGAAGTAGAAAAATAACTTACTTAATTAGTTTTGAAATACTCTCTTAATGAGTCTCTTATCACTTCTGCATTTGCATTAAGGACTTTAAGATACCACGGCAACAGACTACGGACAAGCGTTTTCATGCACGGTCTAACATTTGGAAGATTGGGCTGACTACGACAAAAAGCGCGCGACGTACGGAGAAGTTTAGCGATTAAGATTTCGACTACAAAGGCGACAACGTACTTCACTACTTGATTTATATATATATATATATATTAGTCCTAATTCAAAACTTAAGGACACTCATAAACCGGTTGAGATGTCCTTTCAAGATGTTAGAACAGCTCTGGTGTTAAGTTATGGCGATGGGCAGATAGATGACGAAGAGTTCGTGCTTCTCTACGATGCATATAAGTCAACAAATCCTGCTTACCCTTACTGGGAATTCGGTGATTTTTGCTGGGAAGAGTACGATTCCAGTGAGTTTGAAGCCATGTTCAGAGTAAAACAAGAGGACATACCTATTCTTGTAGATGCTTTGAGAGTTCCAGAAACGTTTAAGTGTGGTCAAGGATTTGTGATGGCATTGAAGGGTTGTGCATACTGTTAAAAAGGTACAGTATACATAATACAGTATAAATGTTAATTTATATTTAATAGTGTGCATGTTTTATTGTCGTATACCTGCATTTTTATATTTATGTATTTTATTTGAACTTTCCTTCAGGTTAGCATATCCTTGTTGATATGTTGACATGATGAGCACATTTGCAAGACCTGTGCCTGAGCTATGCATGCTCTACAATACAGTACTTGACTGGATTTATGATGTTCATGGCTTCCACCTAACATCATGGAACCAAAGCTTTTTATCTCCTTTGGCACTTGAACAGTATGCAAATGCAATTAGAGAACGAGGAAGTCCCTTGCAATTGCTTAGGGTTTGTTGATGGTACAGTGCATCAAATATGCCGCCCTGGCAAGATGCAGCGTGTAGTGTACAATGGACATAAACATGTGCATGCACTTAAATTCCAATCAGTTGCTCTGCCTAATGGTTTAATAGCCAATCTATATGGTCCTGTCGAGGGACGTCGCCATGATGCAGGGATGTTAAAAGATTCTGGCCTACTAGGTTCCCTGGAGCTTCACGCCCATAATCCAGATGGGCAACTCCTTTGCTTGTATGGAGACCCAGCTTATCCACTTTGCCCACAGTTAATGGCCCCCTACCGTGTTGGTGATGTGCAAGTATTAACAGAGGATATGAAAGAATTTAATCGAGCAATGAGCTCCCTCCGAGTTTCTGTGGAATGGTTGTTTGGTGATGTTGCAAACAGTTTTAAATTTATTGATTTTAAGAAAAATTTAAAATTACGGCTTAGTGCAGTTGGCAAATTTTATGTTGTTGCTGCATTGATGAGAAACATATTAACATGTCTCTATGGGAATACTACTTCAAAGTACTTTCACATTGATCCACCGACCATCGACTCTTACTTAGGGGTGCATAATTAGATGTCCTGGGATTAGGGGGGCATTTGAAATAAAGTGTAATAAACATGTAAATCACAATGGCAAAGCTAGCCATGGTAACTGCTATGCTAATAAACCTGCATTTCTAAATGTTTGAAACTTTGAATAATGCAACTATTACAAATTTGTATAGCATGACTATATAGCTTTGGCACTGATTGCAGAATATAAAAAACACACAGATAGAAGATATAATACTGGAATAACATGATATTTTCTATTACTGTATGTTACCAAATTGTACCTTAATTAGGCTATATAACAAGGAAAATGAAAAACATTAACTTCAACTTAAAAACCACAACATTAGTGACATTTAATGTCACTTTATATATTAAATAAATGTCACTTTGATAGTTTCTCAATGACAGTAACAAATAAATTTTGTGTGTTTTTTTTGTGTTTCCATCATTTGCTGTAACTGTAGTTGTTGCAACTGAAGTTGCTGCTTCTGTTGTTCAGCTTTAAGTTGTAGTTCTTGTCTTCTGATTTCTAACTCTTCTTTCCTCAGCTCATTTTCATTTGTTGTTTTCTGAACTAAATATTGAATGGGGTCTGTACAACTTCTTTTTCTTTTCCTTGCAGGTTTAGGCTTCTCTCCCAGATTTTCATCACCACTGTCTTCTTCATCTTCAACTTGCTCATCCTCACCATGCTTTGCTGCCTTCTTCCAAGTTGTCATTGCAATTTCTCTGGTAGCAAGTGCTTCCTTTCTCTTTTTTTCTTCATTTCGGGAGTCAACAGCTGGATTCTTAATTGGAGTTGACTCCAGCATCTCGATAATCTCTTCTAATATTTCTTCGTTTTCAGTTGGTGGGTCTGGGGTAATACCTGAAGCTTTTTCTTCCATGGACTTCTTTTTTTTGTAGTTTCCCATTATCTTATTGAATTGATCTCGAACACTACGCTGATCTCGGGGCATGTCATGAAACAAAACAAAACAATTAAGATTGTCGGCTACTAATGTCCACTTTTGTCCTGCTTCTTTGCTTCCGGCCTTGTATAAGAAAGGTTCAGACACGTAAGCTTCACGCAGAAGTAAGGTGTTCCTTTCATTGCTCCAGCGAAAGGGCCCCCTAAAACCAAGGCATAGTAGATAGTTTTTAAATAAATAAATTTGCATTCAAACCATTAATACCATTTCATATAAAGAATAATTAAATCAGACCATGTGTAACAAATGGCTTGATTATAATGAGTGCCAACTTGGCATTATGAGCTGTCTGAATTTGAGCCAGAAGTCTTAATTTGCTGCCTAGAGTACATCCCAGCAATTCCATTTAATATACATTACAAACCATTATAATATAACATGCGGAAATTCTGAATGCTGATTGGATAAGAGCCGTGTTGACATAACTGAATGTCAACACGGAAAAATTTCCCACCGCTCTTTAAATTTATTTTAATGTTGTACAGTTATTTCATTGTGCTATATTATAAAGCAAATATAAAACTTTTTTCCGTGTTGATATACATACAGTTATATCAACACGAGTGGAAATTGGGAAAACGAGAAATTGTGTGGAAACACGACGCCCAAAGGGTAAAACAAGTTTTTACTGTATATATCTAACAAAAATTTCAATCCCTTAAAGGAGAACGCTAGCTTGTATCTGGATATTAGAACATACCTATATAAGGGTGGGTATATACATGTACATGGGAATAGAGTAAATATCCAATGTGTTTTCTTTTATGTGGTCATTTGAATAGCAAAATCATTGCAAACATAATACATTCATAAGGTTTGTCTCCAGTATGTGTTCTTTTATGTCAACAAAGTTGTGTTGACTAAGCTCAGGTCAATTTGTTATACAGTATATTGATTTATGTATGTTTATCTTGTAGCAATTGTCACAGGTTGATAACATACAAATGATATAATATACATATAGTAATACTAATTGCACTGTATTAACATACAGTTATTAGTAATACCAATCTTGACAATGAATGTGATTTGCTTTATATTCGTGGCTAATTTAAAACACGTTTCTGATATCACAAGCAAAAAATAGCCATAAAATTCCACTTCCTAAATATACTTTATACCTGGAATTGTTCAAACTTTCACCTTGTCCATCTGGTTTTTCACTAAAACCATTCAAATGGAACACATTAATGTCAAATGTGGTTGATTTGTTGATCAATAACGAGGTTAAAAATTCTATTATTTATATCTTAAAATACGCGCAGTATGAGGCACATTAAATTAAAAAAAAAAAACATTTTCAACGCTTGATTTCAATATAAATATTGCATCCTGTCCACCTCTCCAACCTTGACTAGTTGTTTTCTTCATTAAAATATTGACTAATAGTATTGTATATACTTTATGGCTCAAACTGAGGGACACTTTCAGAATTTCAGTGCTAATATAATTTTTAAAAACGTTGTTGTTTTCGAAAACGGATACCACGAAACATCACATAACATAATCCAGCATAAAACTATACATTCAAAAATCAGGCACACAATGAGAAAATCATACCTGGCTTTTTCCATGTTCGTTTCCGGTCTTTCCGTTTCGTTTTAGCTGTTAAAA